ACACCGGTCTCTTGGCATTTTCTTCGTTCTCTTCCCAATATCCACTTCGTTGTTCGTTCATCCCTTATCCCTTATCTGTCACAGCGATACAACATACCTCGAGAGAATGATCGTTCGAAATTTTAGCTAAAAATCTTGTTTTTTTGAGTCATCAAAATTGAAAATCAATCATGTCAGCCATTATATCAGTTTTATAAACAAAAGTGAAATTCCCGTTTAAAAATCTTATTCAATTATACTCTTTTTCAAAAGTTATTTTAGGAAAATTAGAAAATTTAAAGTATACTTAATGAATGTAAAGAAACATTACTTACTTTTTTAGCAGATTTTTTTAAGAGACATATCCAACTATGGTGATTGGTTTTGGGCTGTGTGAATTGACGTATCTAAATGTATCAACAACTTACACCTGGGGAATTTATGGGATGGTAGGACAGAAGTGACAAAATTTGTGCTAATTTTAAGTGAACCTGGTTAGTGGAGTTTAGAAAAAATACGCTTTCAAATTTTTTTTTTAACCTTACGTTTGAGGCAGAATTCTGGAATAAAAATAACATTTAAACTACGAAAAAATACATTTAGAATTCAAATTTTATAACAGACAAAAAAGAGTAACATAATTGTTACGTACACCGATTATAAAATTTTATGGTATTTTTTTAAATTAAGTTCTATATTGTCTCAGTTATGAAATTTGTCCTAACTGAGACAATATAAAAATTAAATAAAATACCATTACGTTTCATAAATGAAACAGGTAACTCATTTAGGAAATGAGATTATGACGATCATCATCACACACACACACACACACAAACACCCTTACAAATTCAAATCTTCAACAGCATTCATTCATTGGACTGGAAGCAATGCTGCTATCTGATGCAACAATTTTAAAATCGCTACATTTCTATATAGTAGATTTTGTGCACTTTTGGGAGAATCGGCTCCCAGAAGTTTCCCCAAAGCTCATTCACTGATTGGTTAGTATCAACCAATCAGATTCTCTGCATGTGGGGAATGATTCTTCCAGCGCAGCACTCCTGATCCAATGACCACCCATAAAAGCAAAAGAAAAGAGGAGATGCACCAGTGAGATTTTAGCTGCCACAGAACTTTAATAGACTTTGATAGTCAAAGAGAGACAATTCTCGTCTTACTCATTGCATGCATTGTTGAATACAATTTTTATATATATTGATACCTTTGCCTTGTCCCTTTTTTCACATCAGTTTTGTTTCCTAAACAAAATTAAACAAATGTGGTGCAAGTCTGTCACAAGATTTTATTTCTTTAAGAAACATTTTAAAAATGCAACGTTAATGGTCACTCAGAAAATAATAATAATAATAATAATGAACGATTCCTCTCAATCTCAGGAAATAATTCTAGCACACGTGACATTTTTTTTCAGAAATGTGCTTACATAGTTTTGGCGGAGATTATTTTAATACATTTTTTGGCATAATAAAAAAAATATTTTTAAAATAGATCCACATAACAGACTGTAGTAAGCTTTCTAATTTATGATTTCTAAAAATAAACCTTTTTAATAAGAGAATTTCCAGAGTCATTCAGTTTCAAACTTAATTTAAAATGTTTATCAAGTTTCTCACATTTTTCATTTAAAATTGAAAAAAAAAGAAAACAATTCTTGTAAAAATTCATTTTTCATTGAAAATGTCCTTTTTATTCATAAAACCCATTAAAATCTTTTTTAATTAAATAATGTCTTAGTTTTGAGTTTTGTATTTTACAGTTCAGAGATAAATTTTGAGTATTTTCATATAATTCTTTACAAAAAAAAAAAAATTGATGATTTATATTCTTCAAGGTCTTCAGCATTTAATTAAAAAAATTACAGAGGCACTCAGTTTCGAGTTTTCAAGTTTTTATAAAATTAAGTGGGAGGTAACAGATGTAAAAAAATTATTTTTACCATGACAGTCTAAAAAAACATTTCTAAAATAACTTCAATCATTTTTTAATAAGTTCTGAAAGTTTCATTAAAATCTAACAATTATTTGATTTTTGCAATAATTTCCACATTAATATATTTTCAATTGAAAAAGGTGCTAAAAAAAACCTAATGCTAAATATTATTTTGACCTCTGGCCTAAAAAAAAAAAAAAGATTTTCAACCAAAATTTAAAACATGCTAAAAAGAAATAAAAAATAATTAAAAAAATACTTTAGTCTTTCCTCTTATTAATAACATAATAACTTTGTTGGGGAGTCATAACTCTAAGTAAATAATTACAAAGACCCTAACAGTTACATATACAAAAATACTTGTAAAAAGGAGAAACAGCAAGATGTAGAAACAACAAAATGAGCATACATTATTTATTATCTGGTTATGTCGTGTTGGAGAAAAAGAAAATACAAGAAGTGTCTAGGGTTTTCTTACTTCAATTTTTTGTTGAGTGCTAAAAGATAAAATGTTACTATTATGGCCTGGAAAAGTAGACAAAATTTTGATGGCCTGTCCATGCTGACTGTTTGTCCATAGAATGTCACATGTTTTTGCGTGTAGCTTATATTTTTTTGATACTATAATTCATTTTTATTTATTGACATGACACCTTGAATAAAAATTGAACCATTCAGCAGTACTAGCTGACTAATGACCAATTAAATACAGATAACAAACTTTGAAATGAATCACTTCATCTTAAATTTTTGCATTGATCACAATGTCAGTTATTAATACATTAAATTAGTCATTTATTTTTATTAGTATTAGCTGTCCTTGTCATCATGTAACTATCTGATTGGATCACTTGATTTTAGAAAAAATTAAAATTCAATGTATTAATAAAATTGTGCATCTAAATTACTTTTTTATAAATGATATTGATATAAGCTTATGCACATTTAAAATAATTAAAAGTTAATACTCCAATAAAACTTGAATTTTGAATTTTTCAAACCCTCATCTCATCTTGTTTCCCTTGATACACTCTCTAGATCTAATAATTTCCTAAAAGAACTGAGTAGATAACCCTTGTATTTTGATTAGGAAAATATTTTGTTGTTATTTATATCTACCCTCCTCCTATAAAGAATTTAATACTCAATATTTTCATTGCAAGTATTTGTCTAACAGTATTTTATATACAACTGCATTTTATAATTATCAATATAGTCCAATCATTTTTTACTTAGAATTCTCATTCTTTCAAACCAATGAACACTTTGTTGTACATATAAAATACTGAATGCATCTTCAAGAGAATAGCATTTAGAGTTATAGTACACTTTCCCTATTGTAAATGAAACAGGCCACCATATACATGTCTGATGGTCATGCAGATTAGATCAATTTTAGATCTTATCAGAAATCAGTAAAGATACAATCTCTGAGAGAATACCACACGTGACATGAAGCAAGTTGATGCTACTATAGCATGAGGTCTACCTCAGCATGTTGTGCCCCTCTCCTCACATAGTCATCAGGTCAGGTGAGGTCTAATATGGATCTGTTTTACATTTTTTAAACACGTGAAATGGGAGGTAGACCTCACACTACAGTAGCAGTGACAAGTTTACAAACTTTCACAAATATACAGCAGATTAAATGCTTAATTTCAAAGAATCTAACTCCCAAAAACCAGCAATTATACTATTGGGGTTTTTGTGAAAACCAAGTTTACAGGGTGTTATACAAACATATGAAAGGCTGGAGGTGTTCAAAACAAAAATGAGGACATTGTTTACATTCAAATTAATGTCTTCATTTTTATTATGATTTGGCCATTGTGCCCACCAACCATTTTCAGGTATGTGCTGATTTAAGTAACCTTAAATGAGTCTCAAATTGAATCATTTATTTAATCTATGGGAGTAGTGTTCTCATTCCACTGTCCATGTCAAAAGATATCTAATCTTATTGTCTTTCTTTTAGTTTGGTACCATAGTAATTTTGAGTTCAAGCTGGGTAGTACAGGCACATTCAGTGGAAACAGGGCAAGCAATAACTGAGCAGTATTAAAAAGAGGTCAAAATGAAATCTCCCTAGATATGGACAGTGGAACTAGAATAATCTACCCCCATAGATTAAATAAAGGGTTCAGTTCAAAATGCCTTGAATGTTACCCAGATTGACAGGCACCTGTAGAAAGCCAGTGGGTATATAACTGCTGAAACGTGATAACAAGAAAGATGGACATTAGTCTCAATATAAATAACTTATCGCATAAAATCAGATATTGTAATCATTCATGTGAATTTCAAGTACATACTTTTTAGTTAGTGTTAATAATTAAGTAACTGTGACTAATTAAGTTCTAATTTATTATTTCATTTAATTATTTAACTTATATTACCTTATCACCAAGAAAAAAAATCATTTAAAAAAATAAATTAAATAAAATGTAACAAAAAAAAAACACAAAAATATAGAAAACTTCAAAAATGAGATAACAAAGATGAGGACATTATCTGATTATAAATAACTTCTCATCCCATAAATTCATTCATTATAGTCATTCACTTGAGTTTTGAGTACATATCTTTTAGTTAAGTTTAATTAGGTAACTAGGTGCATAAGTGAGTTTTAAACTTGGTACAAGTTAAATTATACTAAATTAAAACATGGGTGTGAAGTAAACTACCCTATCACCAGTAAATAATATATTATTTAAAAATAAAAAAAATAATATAAAATATAATATTATAAAATATTATTTAAAAAAATATAAAATGAAGAAAATTTTTTTTAAAATAATATAAAATAAAATGAAAGAAAAAATACATAAAAAAAAATAGAAAACTAGTAAAATATAATAACAAAAATGATGACATTATTCTAACAGTAAGTAACTTCTTATCCCAGAAGTTCAGCCATAAATGAGGATGATGGTCTAATTAATTGAATTAATCATAAAACATGATTCTTTTAAGGGGATGTACACTTATACATATAACTACAAACATCCATGTTCCATGCAGTCAAACAGAATTCAAGTTAAAAGTAATTATAAAAGTGATATACTTACAGTTGAAAAGAAATCACCAACCCACTTTGATATTATGAGTACCATCATTAATGGTAAACCAAGTGTGATGTCACCTGTACACTCAACTAAAATGACCATAATGCTGACAGTGGTACGGACTATACCACCAAGTTGAGAGGCAGCTCCCAATAAGGCAAATTTTCCTAAATTGTTGGTCTGAAAATAACCAAAATTCAAAATTTCAAATGTCTAATCTGCAGAATATAACAGGATAAAATGCCAGCACACAATAATAAATAAATTTATTACAAACAATCCATGGAAAACCTTTTTTTTTAAGCAAATTGCCCCAAGCAAGGTGGGAGTGTCACTAGCTCACAAGGAGTTACAGAGAGTGAGAGTAAGAGTAAAGAGGAGTGTTTGAGAAAAGGATAAATAGAAGGACAGGGATCAAGGTCAGGGCATCAGATGTTGACATTACACTTGAATATTTGAAGATTATGGCTATCAAGCAAGTAAGTGATATGAATGGAGTTCCACTGACAGGAGGTGCAAGATAAGGAGCTGTTGGAGTAGAAGAGATGGCTGCATTTAGTCGTTTCGATAGTAAAAGGGTGGGACCAAGATTCCAACTTAGTAGCATGCTTAAATTCATGCAGTTTGGGAACCAGTGAAAGTAGCTTGTAGGAGCAGTTGCCATGAAAGTACTTGTAGAAAAGACAGAGGGAAGCCACAACACGCCTGTAAGATAGTGACTGCAGGCAGGATACCACATCAGGACCAACCAGATTGCATATCTATCTCTGGATTTTGTCAAGGACCTCAAGATGAATAACAGGAGTATCAGACTATATATGGCAGCAGTATTCCCTGCAAGGACGAATGGTTGATTTGTAGATTTGACGGATGGACTCATGCTAGAAAAACCTTCTGGTGCAACACAGAGAACCAAATTTCCTTGTGATAGATGAAGTTATAGATTCAATGTAGTTATTCCACTTCAGATCAGGGGACAGCGTGAGACCAAGCAGGCACAGAGAGGCGCTCTTGTGGAGTTGGGCATCAGCCATCCTGATGGGAGACAGGGAGGGTTCTCTATGATGGGTAACTGAGAGCAGTTTCACTTTAGAGGCATTAATGTTTACAAGCCATAATTTTGTCAATGGTGCTGGGTCTACTATTAAGGCAGGAGTAAATAGTAGTGTCGTCTGCATAGATGTCAACTTGGGAGTTGATGATATCAGGAAGATCATTGATGAAGAATAGAAACAGTGTAGGTCCCAAGATAAAGCCTTAGGGAACACCAGTGTTCGTGTGAAAGGAACTGAAGGAAACCCCATTTAGGACGACCTTCATTTCACAGTTTGGCAGTAATGATTTTATTAAGTCAAATAATCATCCTGTAATGCTGTATCCCTGAAGCTTATAAAGAAGGCCAGCATGCCTGACCCTATCAAACGCTTTAGAGATATCTAAAGCTATGGCTCAAGCTTCTCTGTTATTGCCAAGTGCTTGGTATATAAATGCAGTTATGGTCAATAGCATGTCAGCAGTGGACCGGGCAAAGCAGAATCCATGTTGCTTGTCTGAGAGCAGATCATGGGATGTAAGGTGCTTAACCACTTCAGCATTGATTAAAGCTTTGAAGTCTTTGCCGAAGAGTGGTAGGAGACTTATAGGACTGTAGTCAGGAGGGTCACCAGAGTTCTTAGACAGAGACAACAGATGAGGACTTCCAACAGGCAGGAAAGCAAGAGTCAGTGAGGCAATAATTATATAGTTTGGAGAGGACACGAGCCAGTTCAAAAGCACATTTCTTCAGGACAACGGCTGGTATCCTGTCACCCACCACTAGCCTTATGGGAGTCTAATTTGGAGACAATATCCAAAACCATTGATGTGGTTATGTTTATGTCACTCAACTGAGCCTCAGTTCTAGGGGGAAAATCAGGTATGGGTACTCCGTATGAATCGGGTGTTGAATTGGATGAGAATTTCCAAGCAAAGCATTTAGCCTTATCATCTGAGGAAGTCAGGACCTCAAATTGATTGAATAAAGGAGGTATTGAGGATTTGCTGTTGTTCAGTACGCTCTTCCAGAGACACCAATAATCTCTAGAACCAAACTCGTGAGGTGTAATACATTGTTTAATTTTTCCAGCAAATAGTAGCTTTGCTTCATTGAGGACATGCTTGCACTCATTACAGGCAGAGACAAAGAGACATCTGTTGCAATCAGACATGTCACTTCAGTACAGTTGGAAGAAGTGATGAATGAAATCACAGAACAATTCCCAGTCTGCGCATTGATAACAGAAAGATATTCAATTAATAGGAGGTTCTTTGCTGGGGGAGGAGTAGAAGGAGATGTAGACAGACACTATGGCATGATCAGAGTTGCCAAGAGGGCAGAGCTGCCTGACATGACTGGAGTCAAGTATGAAGGCAAAACAGAGATTGAGAAGAGAAACCTTACTGTCAGGGTTACTGAGGAAACACATGGCAAAGTCAACCACTTATGTGAGGGACTGAGTGATTGAAAAGTTAAGGGTTTGTATGCCAGCAAGGTCAGTTATAGAGTTTTTAAGTCATGTGGTATAGTGGGTGTTAAAGTCGCCAAACACAAATATATGTGCAAACAGATGTAGTTATTGCTGGTAGAATAAATCAACAGGAATAAAATGATGTAAAATGAATTTGGATTCTGTTAGTGATAAAAAATATGGCATTTTTTTCATTTGCTGAACCAATACAAGCCCCAAGAATCACTCAAAGTAGAGAGTTATTGAATGACATTATTGCATGAATGTAAGAGTTGGTTGTGAGAAGTACAGATTATGAGATATGTAGGAAAAATAATGATTGACCCTAGAGTAAAAGAAGTCAAGATTGTAGTGGTTTCATAAGTATCTTCTCAGGGGTTTATTCCACAAAGCAGCATCTCTTGGGAAGAAGCTGTTCAAATGAAACTTTGTCCTTACTAATGGAATACGAAGTGAATGAGCATGGTTTTTCCCTATGTACATTGCATGGTGGGGCCATAGATGTGAAAGTCTGAACTAAGAAATATAGTATATTATTAAGTATGCTATATACCAGAATAATCTCAAGGTCATTCTTGATTTGAAATATTCAGTGACAAAATAATTAGATAACATGTTTATATACTTAGTTATTATTAATAATTGTGCTTGTCCCTCCTTTCATTAGTTTGCATAATCATTATGTCCTGACAATACCTCAAATATTTTTCCCATTTTTGTAGCAGCTTATCTTTAATGTAAATGAAATGGTTTTAAGTAACCATTTTTTCCTTAAATCACTATCACAGTTCATCTAACCATTGAATGCATTTATTGAGTAAATCAGAAATATCCAAAATAACCAAGCAATAAACAGATTGCTTCATGATCTTTTATATTCACAATATGCAAGGACTTGCTCCTGTCTTAGCAGTTGCCTTTTCAAAATTGTTCTCAATTGTTTAAGCTCAATATCTTTTAGCATTGCATATGGTTAATATAGCAGGTTAGAGAAATAATCTTTTATGACATGAATTCCTTAAAGTAACAGCTTTGTTTTTACTAAAAAGAAAAAGAAATTTCAATATCTATTTTATATTTTCAGTGAAATATATTCACAAGTGAAAATAAAAACCATACTTGCATCTTCAAGTATGTATTTTATTTTCACTGAGCTGTGCTTTAGCTTAGTCTGCCACAAGCTACAACAGAAGGTCCATCCTGTGAGGATTGAAATCATTCAACAATGACTTATGAAAATAGCTTTTCATAGCTATTACAGTAATCATTCACCAGTCCCATGAGAAGGTGTGGTTGTAGTGTTACTTTGCAACTGAACACCAGACCAAGTTCCCTCCAGATATCTGTGTTGAAAGAGAAGTATCCATTAATGTGTAGCTTGTCTTGAGCAATCTGACCTGACTGAATCCATGCCTTTCCAATGTCCTCCAACTTGAAGGCTTGATTTGAGAACTGGGAGAACTCTCCACCATTGTCATTGACTTCAGTATAGGAAGACTTCTACCCAAAAATGTAGTGTCATCACCATACTGGCTGAATACATAGCTCTGGAGTGCAGTTTATGCCAGTGTGCTAGATGGTCGTTGACTCTACAATAAGGTTCATCTGCCATTTGACAGGGCTTCTTTTTTTTCTTTTTTTTTAAATCCTGCTGAGTACTTAGCCATGCTCACACAAGAAAAACCTGGTGGAGGAACTGGTTTAGTTACCAATGATCCAAACATACAGCAGGTATTACTGGGTTGTACAGTACCAATAACTCTTGTAGTGACCTAATATATCAGCTCACCTCTTATAATTACATATGTGTAATTAGATAATTTTAGTCAAATAATCAAAGTTTTTCTGCACATATCAAAACCACTATTTTTGGTTTGGGCTGTATTATGTTGAAATACCAGTTTCCATATGATCACTGAAGTTAAGCCACATTGAGACGGGCCTGTACCTAGATGGGTGAATGCTTGAAAATACCAGTTGCTGTAAGCTTGGATGTCTGGGTGATGTAATGAATAATAGCTCAGAATTGTTAATTGGAGAGCTGAGTCCCAATTCCAGTTGGGTTCATTATATTCAAATACCTTGGGGAAGATATGAATCCAACTATTCTCCCCCAGCTATATGTTAATTAGTAAGACTTATATCACTAAATCATTATCATTAAAAAAATTCTTACAATCTAAAAATATTTTCTGGCTTTAAATAACCAGTAAAAAATTGATTTTAGAAATAGAAATACAATCAGTCAAATCCATCATTTTAAATATTACAGTAATATAAATAAAAAAAAGTCCTTAAATATTTCTAAAAATCAAATATATCTAATATCCAATAAACTATAAATTGTTAAAACCTTTTGATATTACAATTTACATTAATATCTTTCACACATTTCTATCCTATTGATCAATAGATAAAGGAAAGAAAGAAAAATTAAGGTAGCTATGAATTGTATATATTCATGCATAAGTTTAATTAAGAACAAAAGTTGATTGAAGCCTATGTATAATGGAAAGGGTCATAAAAGTAACTGAAGCTTCAAACATGAAAAATTCACAACAAATATAAACAAAATTAATATCCTGATTTGTAATGAAATGCTGTGTCCTGACTTTAGCAAATAAAGCTTACTAACCGAGAATTGGTTAATCTACTGTATAACATTCTTTTTAGTAGCCTGTCAAAATTCCAAGCAGATGTCAGCTTATCTCTTGTAAGGATAAATTTTAAGCTCCCTTTTCAATATTTTTCCATTTAAAATTATATCCCACAGCAACCTTGTTTACACCAATACAAATTGCACCATCAACTGTTGAATATTAGCATATTGTTGCAAATGCAGATCTCTTTACCATAGTATCCAGATATATAGTGCTTTGTTAGCCTAATTTATTGTTTAATTAACCCAAAATATCAGGTTGACTCATAACTTTTATTTTTTTTGCTTAAAATCAAGACTCAACATATACAAAGGATCACCTTATATACAAACCTATCTGGTACATTAAGAGAATGCAAAATTTAGCATTAAAATTAAAATAACATTAAAACTCCATTTAACTCTCTCAAGAAAAATTTCCATGTTGGAATACAGAATTTTTTCTATTGGTGCTAAAATGAAATCTCACTAAAAAAAAAAAAAAAACGGGCAAAAAAGTGGTAAACATACATATGCATTTTCTAGACTTAATACTTCTTTCACACACATAAAAAAAAGAAAAAAAGTCTTTAGCTTTCCAAGTGAGCAGTAACAATCAATGAAAGTAACATTTTTGTCAAACCATATCTGAGAAAAATGAACACCTAAGAATAATAATAAAAATAATCAGTTGGAAAGGCATTTTAAATAACAGAAATTATAATACATAAATCTGTTAATATCTAAAAGTAATAATTCTTTTAAAGAAATTAATGACATTGAAAAGTGTAGTGCTTTATAAATATCTTAGATGCAAATTCCTTGAAGAGGCATTTCTTTATTAGATTCACTCCATCTTTCTGAACTATAAAGGTTAGTTTTTAGATAATAAATCAAATAGCCAATACAAAAGAATGTGCAAAACAATTTCAGATATTTTTTCATATTAAATAAACTTTTCTCGCTTTTGGAACTCCCTACCAGCTCTATGCTTTCCAGCCAACTTTAACCTGCAAAAATTTAAAATCAGTGCCAATCACTACCTACTGTCATCCTTATAACTCTTTTTCTCTCCCTGCTCATTAATTTTTCTGTTCCTAATTCTTCCACACCCTTTAGCCCTTTGCATTTTAGTAGCTTTACTGCCTTGCTTGGGGCAATACCAATTAAAAAAATAACAACAAACCTTAAGATTTTTTCTTTGACTGTATACATTAAGAATATTTACTCTTTTGCTTTAAAAACCATTATTTCTCACCAGAACAATTTGTATTCTTCCTTATTTTTATATTATCTAATTGCTGTAAGTCTTTTTGCCATTTTCCCTAATATATAATAACTCACTGCTAATTTCATGCACTTGTAACTGAATAATTGCTACATTAAGATTTAGCAGTATATTAAGGGCCATATAATGGTCATATGCAAAATGTACATGTGGTGGAATGGTTAGCATCTCAGGATGAGAAATTGATGAGCCGAGTTCAAATTCCAGCCATGTTTGTTACATTCACTTTTGCACAAATACCTTTGGGAATGGTATGTATTCATCACTTTCCTTGTATAGATTAAATAGCAGATTGGGCTCTCTGGTCATGGTTGGTAATCAGTCTAGGGGAGGGACAACTCCAAATTCAAAACTGTTTGCAGCCTTGTCATATTGGTAAGATGTGGGTAGGTCCAGGAACAGAGAGATAAGAAGCAGGAGAATTAAAATTAATGACTATAATAAACCAGCTTTGACCAGCATCACCATTGACCAGTACAGTTAGCACTGTGGTTAAAAACATTGTCTTAAAGCCCTGAGGACAGGACCACTAAACATGGTTACACCACCAGATGTAGGAAGGAGGTGTTATATTTAACAATTTAACATCTTTTTAAATATCAAATATGCTGTTCCTTGCCTCATAATAACCAAGAACTGAATAAGGCAGAAGCCTTTATTTTGTACTTACTATCTATAGAAACTCCTTGTAATAGTCACCAAAAAGTAAGACTACAACATTAGGGTATTCAAGATTAAAGTCACTTGCTATGGTTTAAGAGCAGTTTTACTCTACAACACCTTTTAGTGTAAATATATATGAATGTCTTTTTTACATCTTTTAATTTTGTGAGTGTACAGTCATATCACATTGAAACACTGGTTCTTGTATGATCACCAAAGTTAAGCAACATTGATCCTGGTCAGTACCTAGATAGGAGACTGTTTGGGAATATTAGGTGCTGTAAGCTTGGATGTGCAGGTGGTATAATGGCTCTGATTTGGAAATCAGACAGCTGAGTTCCTATTCCAATTAGGTTAATTATATTCACTTATGCACAAATATCCTTGGGAAAGATATGAATCCACCTCTTCTTCCCCCCAACTATGGGTTAATTAGTAGGATTTGTATCAGTAAATCATTATCTCCAAAAAGTTCTTAGAATTTAATATTTTTGACTTTAAATAACCTGCAAAAGATGTAAAAATAAAATAATAAAAATGTACATTTAAAATAATCTTTTTGATGAAAACAATTTTAAACATTTCAACTTGAAGTTTTTATATTTTAAAATGTTAACTTTATCAATTCAAAAAGAAAAGTGATAATTTTCATAACCAGTAAATGCATGCACACACCACAGTTCACTGCTGAATTTAGAGAGTAATGACACATGACATGTTAGCAAAGGTGGGAGATTATGAATTAAGAGTTGCTCTTAGACTGGTTGCCCTACCAAGGCTAAAGGGGACAATCTGTTCTATTTTGACCAAAGCTGGAGAAGAGATGGATTATTCATGTCTTACCCAAGAGCATTAGTGCAAGTAAACAACATGCCCAGCTAGAATTTGAACTTGACTTTCTGATTTTATTTTTGGCACTGATAAATGTTTATTCCAAATTGCAGAGAAAACTGATGCATGTACAAATGATGAAACCACAAATATTTTAATTATTATTCTTATCTTTCCATACAGAATGGTTTTTAATGCAACTGAGTTAGTCATAATTAGTACTAATGATCATTGATTAAATTAAAATAAAGGTCAAAGTTTTCACTGATTTTCTTCAAAGCAAGTTTGCTTTATCAATTTTGAAACACAGATACTATAATCTCCCTACACTGAAATAATTAGTACATTCACATCCAAGCAATATCTACAATACTCAATTGATAATATTCCTAAATTGTTTAGTCCATCACCCATTACAGATGAAATTTTGACAAGATTGCTTTAACCAGTTAAACTGTAGCTGATAGTGCTTGTCCAATAGCTACCCTTTTTAATATATGAAATTGTAGATATTTGCTAGATTCGACTACCTTTGATATAAAGCCACATTTAGAAAACACCCTGTGAGCTATCTTTATATATCAAGTTGTGTGCATAAATAATTTACTTATGTATTAACACATTTAGTTCCAGTCTTGTACATGTGCAAGGCTGAGAATGCTTATCTAAATTGCCAAATCATGCAAAGAAATATGGTAATGAATACAAGTGTAGTAGCAATATGTCCTCTAAAAAGGCTATCGAATTTTAAAATGCCATTCTTCTAATACCTAGAATTGCATTACAGGATGTGTTGTCAGCAAAAGCAACATCTCAAAGCATCTGTACATATTTAAATGTGATACATCAATAAGTCTGTAGCTTATGAATAAAGAAAAAAATCCTATTTTCTGTTGTAACATTTTTTAACATGATCTCCTTTATTGTCAATGCACTTAAGTGGTGAATGTTAATCACATAAATCAAACATTATACAGTGAAAATTTCAGATCACAATTCAGCTAACAACTACATGCCAAGGTACAGAATTATTGGTCTTCATTCCAACTTTATGTGTGTAGATAGATAGATAGATAGATAGATAGATAGATAGATAGATAGATAGATAGATAGAGTTGTTAATGAAGACATTTATTGGAATCTATTACATAGTGTTTCTGTTGTCAAGCTTTCTGTAAGAAAGGAATGAACTTACTATCAACATTTTGAGATTAGCTACTGTGTTTATTAATCTCTCCTATGAAGCAAATTCTATAGCCGGTGCAATTTGAACTAAAACTTTCAAAAACTTAAATTTCAATTTTTTCATTGGATACCAATCTATGTCAGTTTTTTATGACTACCATTTATTTTATTGAATATGGGAAATTTTCCAACAAAATGAATAGAACAACTTTATTTTTCATGTTTTTTTTTATATCATTTCGTCCCATGCAAAACAGTAAAGCTACAAGGGGTTACTGAGTGAAAGAATAAGGAAAAACAGAAACATTACTAACAAGAGAAGAATAATCAAGAAGACAATAGATAACAACATTACATTTAAATTTTTGAAGCTCAAAGTTGGCTGTAAAGCATGGAGCCAGAAGAAAGTTCCACAAGCAACAAGTTTAGTATAGAGTTTTTTAGATCAGCTGCCAATTTGACTATATCAAGACAGGAGTAAATAGTTGTCATCAGCATAGATACCAAGTTTAGAAGTGATACCATCAGGAAGGTCTTTGATAAAAATTAAGAACAATGTACATCTAAAGATGGAGCCTTGGGGGACAATTGTGTTAGTACTAAAGGATCTAGAAGATTGGCCATTCAGGACAATTTTCATTTTGCAATTTGATATGAAAGATTGAATCAGTTCAGAAATGAATCCAGAAATACCATAACCTTTCAACTTGTGAAAAAAACCAGTATGCCAAACCCTGTCATATGCTTTTGATATGTCCAAAGCAACAGTTCAGGTTTCACCATTCTTATATAAAGCTTGATAGTCTCTTTAAGCAATAATCAGCAGTTGATCTAGAGAAGCAAAAACTATATTGCTTGTCTGGAAGAAAGCATTGCAATATGTAATGCTTAACTAATTCAGTATTGATTTGGGCCTCTAGTAGTTTACCAAAAAGTGGTAGAAGGCTAATACCTTGAGGCTTAGAAGCTTCAGATGGTTCACCTGAGTTCTTAAAGACTAGAATAATAGATTTCCAACAACCAGGAAAGCAAGAGGCAGCATTATTCTACAGTTTAGAGAAAAGGAGCCAGTTCAGAAGCATATTTCATAAGGATTATTACATGGGTACCATCAGGTTCAATGCTTTTTGGAGATCCAGATGAGAGAGGATAGCAAAGATCATGGATGGAGTTACCTGCATATCACTCAACAGACTCAGTTCTAAGTGGAAAGTTGGACAAGGGATTCTTCAGATGAGTCAAGAGTAGAATTTGAACAGAATTTACAGGTAAAATATACAGCTTTATCGGGAGATGTTAACACCTCATATTGAGAGAAGAGAGGAGGTGAATTCTACCAGCAGTTACTCTTATTTAATACACTAAACCAGAGCAGCCAGTAGTCATGAGAGCCAAAGTTGTTAGATGCTATACAATGCCTAATTCTATCTAAAAACAAAGACTTAGCACATTTATTACGTGCAACCACAAATAGTCATCTGTTGTGATTGGAACTGCTACACTGGTATAGACAGCAAAAGTAATTCCTGTGGGCTATAGTGGCTGAACAAGCCAGTGTGAATCATAGAAAAGGTACAGTGAAAATCTTCCTTAAGCTAAAATTCAGTCCTTTACTTGCATAAACTACCAGAATTTTCTGAACAGCCCTTGCAAAAAATGAGGGAGCATTTTGTCAGTGCATTCTAAATATCATCAAATATTGTATATATTATGAGGTTGAGTAATAAGTAATTTCCATTTCTATGGTTTTATTTTTTTTTTGGTAGCCAATCATAATCACAAATATATCATCCTAACTACTAGTCATATGTGGCAGTAATAAATTTGGAATGCACGAACCTGCGACAAAGTTCAATGCAAAAGGCAGTGGATTAACAAGGATAAATCTCCGTAACTGATGACAGAAGTTGAGCTCTATGGAAAAACGTTAATGTGTGTAGTGAGATGATCAGAATATTACTCATTTAGAGTCCTTAAAACATAAGGAAGCACTAAATGCACATTAATATGTCTAGCAGCTGTAACATGTTCATAAAATGAAAAATGTTGTTCTCTTCCATGACAATGCAAGGCTGCATAACACAGGAAAAAAATTTGTAACTTTGTTCTACCCAAGCGCTATATTCACCTGACCTTGTATCAATTGATTATTTTCTTTTTTGATTGCTGTAAAATGCTTTGATGGGGAAACATTCTATAATAAAAATCAGATTCAAGATTTTTAAAACTTTTTCACATCAAAACCTACGGAATTTTACTCAAAAGGTATTGAAGATCTGTGGGATAATTGGCAACAAGCGATTGTAAATAATGATGAGTATATAATTGAAAATTTAACATTTTTTGGAGATAAAGTTGATAAACAAAAGCAGAAATTATTTATGACTCAACCTAATATATAAACAGTGGATAGTTAAGTATATATAAATTGAAATGGAGGAAAATAATTTTCTATGTGTACTAAAAGGATAAATTAGAGAAATAAATTCACCATTTTAAATATTTAATGAATTGCATTTGTGTAAATATGATGATGTATTAGCCTGTTATCATGAAATGTATTACCAATGCAGGAAAAAAAGAAGTCAACTTAGAATGTGCTTTCATCTTGTTTGAAAATTTTTTAGTGAAAATGATCAGAATCTAATTAAGATGTTCATAATTATCAAAAAGTGTAACAACTATTGTATAAAAGATGCATTTTTCTATATTGATATTTACTAAGCAGAGTCCTGTACAAGGCCATCCAGTGAAGGTTGTGTAGGTATACAGAAAGTGATTATCTCCCTTTGGTGGAGATAAGTCACATGGATCACATGACGGACCACTTAATGATGTCACTCCATACAGTAACCAAAGCAGCAGGCAATTTTTAGTTTGTTTACAGCAGCCAAACTAAAAGGTTGCTTTCTTTAGCCTGGTCCCCCATGGACTGGGTAGAGGCTAAATCTGCCTCAACAGCAGCTTATAAGTACATAGTGTTGTTTCTCTTATGGAATATATCTTTCTCAGATATAGAAAGAAACTCCAGCTCACAATCCTCAGTTTGGGAAAATCTAAGACTCACTATTTCCTATTCGTGGAATATGTCCTTGCCTGGGACATAGTAGAGGAATCTGGTCTTTTTGAATCTGGAATCTTAAACCTGGTTTCTCCAGACACAGGAGTATCTCCATATTATATGTAAGACTTATCCCTTTTGTTTCTCCTTACACTCTGCTTTGCTGTGTAGAGATGTGTGATATATTATTCTCTGCATGGAACATGTGTAAATATAGCTTTGTGTATGATTAGAGGTATAGGAGTCTTTCTGAAACCAAAGCATGTTTGCTGTTCCTTTTTCTTTCAGCTATTCTGTTCCCTCTGTGAAGTATGGTGGTATTATATCATGTATATAATAATGCCCATAACAGGAGAAATACAAATGGGAGAATAACTCTTTCTTCCATAGCTCTTTTCTGTTATAGTTGTACTGCACCAATCTTCCAAAATAGGACGATTTACCACTCATCTTCAAAATCAGAACAGTAAAGTGAAATTCATTGACAGTCTTACATTGCTGCATAAAGCCTTTTTTATCCAATAGATCATGTCTCAGAAAGTGAAAAGTATTTTCTAATGTCTGCAATTAAACAAAGGTATCTTAGATATTAATTGAAGGAATCCAAATTGAAGTAGCCTGATATCATATGGAGCTGTAGATAATCTTCATACTGACAAGATCAGTTATTTAAGTCCTGCATCTTTTATGACTTTAAGAAAATTTCTTTTATCATGCTAAATTCAATTTTATACACTTAATTGCTTGGATTAGAGTCCTCTCCACTTAGCACAATATTTCAGCAATTGTACACTCTAGCTTCTTCCAGTGTTTGTTATGATTGGTAACCTTTTTATACAATGGGGAAATGCAAATGGCACTCTGCTTTTCTTATCTTTTACTTGAATGCTTTATAAATGTATAGTAGAGTAAGAAAAACAAAGCTCAAAGAAAAAAATATTGTTTCAACTACAGCATTACTAATATTTGCAGAACTGACTTTGTCAACAATACATGATATTTGAGTAGACTTATTTTTTGTTTAGAGAAAGTATATTCACAAAAAATAGGTCTACTCAAATACTGTAAAAACAAAAATAGTGAAAAAACTTTGGAAATGATAATGAATCCTCTCAAAATTACAGTAGGTATATTTATTTTTTAGTCCTTTCTGTAATGGTCGATGAAGGGACCAGTATAAGTATTCCCAGGCTTAGAGACTTTTGCTACTTGGTAGTAGCATGGTTGCAAGAGGGTTTTAAAATTATGAGAATAATTTTTAATGTTCAGTAAAAATATAAAAATATCACAGAAATATGTTTAGCTGTAATTTTTGTGAGTGCTACCACATAGCCCCTTACAGGTAAGGAAACTATCACGTTCTTTAGCTACTGCTGATCAAAGAGGCAACATCATAGTTATCTGCGCCCTACTAAGTTTGAAATTCTCCTCTAAGGCACCATGTGTCCCCTTTCATTTGTTTGCCTTTGTTCCAAATTGTTATTGTTATTGTTTCTGTTTGAACTTTGAAATGTATTTTGTTTGTCCATTTCCCCTTTTGAGAGATATATTTGTTTCTAGTTTTCTCAGTGTATTTCCTAAATAAACTGATAACCTCAATATGAAAGTTGGACATTTCTCATTGAAAAAGGCACTCAGTTACACTTCTTTTACAAAGTGAAATCTGTTTGGGAAGCTAGTGACACAATTTTGTTTCTCAAATAAAACATTTGGCTGATAACTTCTGCCATTTTATTGTGAGTAAAATTAAAACTAAAAAAACTTCATTGTGGTAATGGTATTTTTCTGGTATTTTCACTGTCCTGGAGTGAAGGGGAAAATTTGTTCATTTCAAAAATATTTGAATAGAAAACTTCCTAGAAAATCAGTTGTAGCATTTTTTTCTTTTTATTTCA